GCCATGCTCCATGCGGCCACAGTCAAGTTAGGCTGGTGAGTTGGTTTGTCCATCTCTTCAGTAATTCTGGCTCTGCTGCTGAACATGCTGACCAAGAACAGGTACTCTAAAGGCACTGACCTGTCTGCCCTTTCCTGTCCTGAAAGGCTTCCACAAAAGGAACCCATAAAGGTTATATTCAGCGATGAATAGTTGGGGCCCAAGTATTAAGGAAAAGGGATAGCCTCCAAGTTGCTTCCAGCACCAGGAACAGGCCTGGTGGAGGCAGCACCACAGATTGCTGGGACCTGATCCTCAACTAGATGGGAGGGTAAAATCCTGTTCCAAGAAGAAGCAAGTATTTCCCTTTCTCGGGGACAGGCTGCTGTGAAGCCTGAAATCCTTCTAGTACACAGGATATTCAGCCACACCTAAGGCCCTTGGACTTCAGGAGTTTCTGCACTCCTTCCGGACGGTGATGGCTTTCATGCCACTTGCCAAAGGCCTTCTTCAGGCAGTAGGTTCACCCCTTTGGTTTTGTGCAATTGTTGTCTGCTGTTCCATTGCTGTCTGAAGACTCAAATGTATTTTTTCCTCTTTTTTCACATTTTAAAATGTTACATTTTTTTTAACTTGACTCATATGACCCTTGACCAGTGCATGTTAAAGAAATATTGCAGCGCATCAACTGTTTATTAAATAATCTTTTTTCATGTTTTTTGTTTTAAAAAGAATATTTTCTGTATCCCACTCTAGCATGCACCTATAGCAATCCCCCTTTTTATCGTGTATGGGAGTAGGTTGTCCAGCGAATGCACTTTCAGCACTGTGGCCTATGTTTGTATTGCTTTGGAGAGGCAAATAACACAAGATTGCTGGAAAACACTATTCTGTTGATCCTTTATTCAGATGTATAGAGCAGTCTAGGAAGGAAGAATATTTTTGCATCAACTTTTCAGCTGACTTAGCAATAAAGATTTTTACTTTCATCTAACTACATACTCTGATTCTGTTACTGTGCTGGAGAGAATTTGTGCAGTATCTCAGTCAAACATAGCTGTGGCTAGCAGTAGCTGTGCTGTAGGGTCTCCTTCATTGGGCTCTGTGTGCTACTTCACTCATCAGCCTTCCGTACAAAAGCTACTTGCAGAACACTGTGAGGGTAGAATTCATAATACCAATTATTAGGCAGTTTTCTGTATCCTGCCAGAGGAATCCTGCCCCGTGAACTTGCTCTAAATAGTACTGTACAGCTCCCTAGAAGTAGCTGCAGCAAGCAGGAAATACAGAATCATTAAAAGAAATGGGACCACAGTGGACTGTCTACATAAATCCCTGCACTGAAACACTTAATGCATCTAGCTACTGAAAGGGAGCAGAAATCAAACAAACCCCAGAGTATCTGGTGTGTTCCTATTTAGCATTTGTTTTACTTCCGTATCTCTAGTTCCAACAATGTTCCATGGTTTTGGTAATTGTGAGCATTTAGTCACTGGTGCCAGTGAAACTGGAGATATATCCAAGACAAAGCATGTTTCTGGCATGTTTAGTTTGGTGTTCGGGTTTTGGGTTTTTTTTTATTATGGGCAGAACTGGTCTGTGAGACCAGTGGTGGTTCCATCTTCAGATGGACAATGCACATAGTGGGCACTGCTCTGAAGTGACATTTCATTCTGAGGCACGATTTTGTGATTCTAGTGCTACTTTTCTTTTCCCTGTTACTTTTTTTTAGAACTTTTATAGGAAATTTAAATTTCACCTTTCTTTTAATAAATAATGCAAGAGCAGCAGCTCATTTCCCCAACTTGTACATTAAAAATATATTTTGAAAACAATATACTTCTATCTGGAACCACCTGTTTGAGCTTTTAAAGCTTTTGTCTGATTATCTCAACTCAGGGCATCTTTTTAAGCAAAACTGTTGTATACAAGTTATATAAAAGACCGTTTCATACAAAAATGTGCCCTCTCCAGGAGAGTTTGAAAAGGCATTGTGTCACAAATTAGGCTGAGTTGTACTCATCATTTTGCAAGTTTCTTTCAGGATTCTCTGATGGCTCTATAAATGCCACATTCAAACTGCCCTGTTAGTTCCAGGAGACCTACAAGAAAGCAATAATCAGCTGCAACAACCACGGGCCTCGATCACTCATTTTTAAGAGCTCTGTTCTCAGAGAATAGTCACGTGCCCTTTGTAAAGACAGTTTCAGCTACAGAAAGCTGTTCATCAGCAGAAGTATGTAGTAGCAGTACTTCTAGCAAGACTTCATTGGAGGAGAACAAGACACCCGACAGAAGGGATGGAAAGGCTACCTGTGAAGCAGGCAGCTTGTCGTCAACTACACGAGGACAGTCATTCTCTAAGAGACAGCCACCACAGGAAGACAATGCATCGGACTACCTTTGTGTCCACTAATAATTCAGTAATGCAAATTCAGGTTAGGAACAGCTTGACTCTACCACATTTAGAGCTATACTCTCTCAGTGAGTGTTCTGCTGCAGCATTAAGGATGCACTGCCCAGAAGCAAGGAAAAGCATACTGTTTTCGTCTCGGTAAGGAGGTTGGCAAAAATCATGACCACTACTGGAGCACAGGAATCATTCTAAAGCTCATATAGTTCTACTGGTTTCTGTTTCAGTTTGCGAACTGTTCTGTACCCCCTGACAGATAGGCCTGCACTAAGCAGGTATGCCATGACAGCTATGCAGCCTGAGAGGCCAGCAGCAATCTCTGCCCCATGCAGGCTGCACCTAAAGCCCTGATAGCCTTTGCTTTGATAAAGCTGCTCTCTCTCCTTGCACACTGATGAATTATAAACCCCCAGCAGAAAATGGAAGAAATAGTACAGAGCAGGGACTATGCCAATTGCAATCCCTATGTCCAGGATGCATTCAAGTAGCAGCCATGCTGGGAAATGCCATGGTAACCGTAGAACACCAACCAAAATAAGAATGCAAGGTAAGACCAGGAGACACCCTCCCACGGCCATTGCTGCCCTTGCAATTGGCAGCTTTAATAGGTAGAAATGATGGTCAAGCTGCTGCGCTTTTTCCCCGTCTGCTCCACTCAAGCCACTGTAAGCCCCGCCGTACTGGTAGTAGTAGATGCCCCCCAGGCTGGGAAGGCCCGTGTAGCCTCCCGTCGACCCGTAGGACACGGAGCTGCAGATCAGGATCAGCACGGCGAGGAGCGCTTCCACCATCTGGCAGCAGGCTGGAAGGGGAAGGGCGAAGGCGGGTCTGCGGCCGAAGCGGAGGGCCGCCGAGCCCGAGCGCTCCGGCAGCCAGGAAGGAGCCTCGCCCCGGGGCGGGCGAGGGGGCCCCGGGAGG